CCTTGACTTCCTTTACACCTCCTGTGCTTTTGATTTTATTCATAAGTTCCATTGTTTTTTTAATTAGTGAACCATTGTAATGACTGGCATTAGATGGTGATTTTTAATTCATATGATTTTATTTTATTGGATAAAATGTCTTTGAGAGTGATTTATGATTCATGTAATTATATTTTATTGAATAAAATGTTTTCCTTAAGAGTGATTTTTAATTCATATAATTATATTTTTGTTAGACAAAATGTCTGCTGCTTCTTAAAGAATTAATTCCATAGATGATAAGTTAGATTTAAAAGGGTTTGAAACTGATGATGAGTTAGAGTTAGAAAATGCTAGTGTTGCTAATGCTAGACCTTTTAATACTGATGATGGAGAAAGAGAGGAATGTGGTGGGACTAACGAGAAAAATAAGAAAAAAAGAAAAATAAAAAAGGAACAATCTGCTATTTAGAAGTCTTTTACTAAGGTAATTGTTAATGGGATATCAAAAGTTAAATGTCACGGTTGTAGAATGCTATACAAGATAAGTAGTAAATCACATGGGACTTCTACTCTTTGCCGTCATGTTCAAACTTGTCAGCCCCTCACAAAATATCATGATGTTGGTGTAATGATGTTGAATCAAGAAGGAAAGCTTGTTTCTAGAAAAATTAATCTTGGAGTTTTAAGAAAGATGCTTGCTATGGTTATTATTGAGCATGACCTTCCTTATTCTTATGTTGAATACAAATGGGTAAGGAAAATAGAACAGTATTTAAATCTTGATGCCACTCCTTTTTCTAGAAAAACTATTGTATCAAATGTCAGGAAGTTGTATGTTAGTCAAAGCAAATAATGTTAAAGAGTCTTGATAAAATATGTTTAATATCTGATTATTGGACTGCAATAACTTCATAAGGATACACATATTTAACTGCTCATTTTGTTGATGATAAGTGGAGGTTGAATAGTAAAATACTCTCCTTTTGTAAGATGGAGCTACCATACGCTGGGGTTGAATTGGCAAGAAAAGTATGTGAATACTTAATAGAGTGGAGAATTGATAAAAAAGTGTTTTTTATTACATTAGATAATGCTTCAGCAAATAACAACATGCAAGAAATATTGAGAGAGAGACTGAGTTGGCAAAATAGGTTGGTATGCAATGGAGAATTTTTTTCATGTGAGATGTTGTAATCACATCTTAAACTTAATAGTTCAGGAGGGTTTTGAAGGTTGCAAGTTTTTCATTGCAAGAGATCGGGGAGGGTATTAAATATGTTAAACAATCAAAGATGAGGATGATTACTTTTAAGAGGTGCATTGAGCAAGTTGGGGGTGTTGACACTTCAATTGACTTAAAAACAAATTATCCCACTAGGTGGAATTCAACATATTCAATGCTTAAAAGTGTGATTAAATATCGTCGTGCTTTTAGTAGCTTTTCCGTAATTGGCAACAATTATAAGGTTAGCCCTTCTACTGAAGAATAGAGGAGAGCGGAGGAGATATACACTTTATTGGAGCCCTTTGATATGATTATCAACTTGATTTTAGAGATCTCTTATCCAACCTCAAACATATATTTCGTGCAAATAGCAAGAATTGAAATATTGTTTGAATAAACGCATGATGAGTGATGACCCTACACTTCAAGAAATGGCAAGCAAAATGAAAGATAAATTTTACAAGTATTAGAGTGATTATAGTATGATTCTTGCACTTGGTATTGTTCTTGATCCTTGAATGAAATTCAAAGTGATTGAATATTATTATCCTTTGATTGATCTTCTCCATGGCCATGCAAAGATTGAAACTATCAAGTGAAAGTTGATTTATATATTTGATCAATACAAATAAATGAGTGGTGCACTACAATCATCTCTAACTATTCAATCATTTCTAGGTCCGGGGTCATCAACATTAACTCATCAATCATTTATGGGTTCACACAACACTGTGGAGAAAATAAATGATGAAAAAAGGCATTATCTCCGGCTTATTGTGTAAGTTTTTAAATTTTATTTATTTTTTCTTAGCACTTTATTTTGAACGACAATTTATTAATACTTATTTGAATTTAACAGGATTTTCTTAGAGTGAATATTTGTGATGCTTCTGCCATTACAAAGTTTGAATTGGATTATTATTTGGAAGAAGTAACTCTTGATCTTAATGCATTTTTGAAAATGAATGTTTTGGATTATTGGAAGAATAATCAACATAGGTTTCAAATCCTTTCAAAAATTGCATGTAATGTCCTGAGCATTCCGATCACTACAGTAGCTAGTGAATCAGCCTTCAACATTGGCTCGCGTGTTCTTACAATGTACCAATCTTCACTCCTTCCAGAGAATGTTCAAGCTCTTATTTGTACAAGAAATTGATTGCTTGGATGGAATTGTGATGGTAATTTGTTCCAAAATAGTATATTTTATTATTGTTAATTTGTTTAACTTACTTAATTTATAGTATATGTTGTTGATCTATATGTGTGGCAGGTGAAGCTTCTGATAATGAAGAAGATGATGACAGTGAGGGTGAAGTTGAATTAATTATATCTGATGAAGATAATCATGCAGTAGAACAAGCTTCTAATGTCATCATTAATTTAACATGAGCTGTTTTGATTTGAGTATCGTCTTGAATGGATTGTTAATTAGTTGTTTCATTTGAGTGGACTTTCTTTAGACTTAAGAAGTGTTGATTAATAATTGTTGAACAATTTAAATGAGCGAGAATGATTATATTTGTAATTTTAAATGCTTATTAGTTGAATTTAATATTTCTACCAAAAAAATCAGCATATTTATGCAGGCCAGCCCGCAATAAAATAGGTTGGGTTGAGTTTTTTAGCCTGTTTAAATTTATGGGCTGGCTTGCAACCCGTATGCCCAGTGCTATTAGTAGGTGATGATTTTTTATTTTGTTTAATCTGTGTGAGCACCTTCATTTTTTTTTTCCTTATTCACGTGGGTCTAGAAAAACCTGGCCCAGTCATTTTCCCCCCTCATTTAGATGTTGTAGTTCAGCATTCTTTTAATTTTCACAAAGCGAAACTGCAAGTGAAGTCCACAATAAAAAAATATGCATAAGACAAACAATAAAAGATTTGATGATGCATGTTGCAAAAAGAATGGGTGTTAAACCAGAAATATGATTATAAATTTAATTTACACGGAACTTAATTAAAAAGGTAAGTGTGCAATCCGATAATTTTTTTATTGTTTTAAATTTAAGATAATAAATTGCAGAACAAAATAATTTTTTGTATCTACTTTTAGTGAGTAAACGATAGAAAAAATTATAAAAAATTTTTTGTTTTTAAAATAACTTCTAATACAAAGGGACATGGGGTAAATTTATATTTTGCAACCTACAACAATATTATTTGTTGTAGAATGATCAAAAACAGTCTTTACTCAATATTTAATTTAAAATTCATTTTTATTCATGTTTGATTGGTGGGGGATGAATAGGCTTACAGGTGAGGATGGGGGAGATTTTGACAAATTTGATTTTAAATATGAAAAAATCTGACAACTTTGATTTAAACATGAAAAAAGTGGTGTTAAAATTTTTTAATCGATTGGATTAAAAAAATAGAACTAAGATGAAAAATAATGAATTAGAAGTTTTAACCCTACTTTTGATTTTTTTTAAATTAAACATTTTAAAATATCTCAATTTTTCCCTTGTTTAATATCCCATGCATGGCACGAATTAAAACCTAGTTCAACTAAAACGATTGTCCCTTTTCTCTATCATTTACCACATTTTGAAGACATGTGCTACATATCTAGTGTGTTCCTTTGATTCTATTTACAGTGTAGAGAAAATGTTAATTTTAATCATATTTATATAACACTTTACTGTTTCTTATGTTTATTTTTATCTTTTCACTCTTATTAAATGATAGAAAAAATTATTAAAAACATTTTTTTTGTCCTCATTGAGGAGTAAAAGTAGAAACTTATTAAATTTTAAAATAGAGTTAATCAAATTTAAAATTTTTCATAATTTTGATGAAATATATTAAAAACAACTGATAAACATAATTAGCATCCGGTAGCATTGGAAGTATTCCCTTTGTTTCTATTTACAAGGCAGAGCAAAATATGTGTCCCAATTATGAGACATGTTATTGACTTTTGTCATATTTTTTATTTTTTACCAACGCTAGAATTAGAGAAAAAATGTGTTATTACACACACACATTCTCTTTCTCTAGTCTTTGTTGTAAGACACCCAAAAATTTTTTTTGATCTTTAATATAATACACATGTATGGTTATTTATTGAGTACCATTTTCTAATTGCATTCCTGTTGTAAATATAATTTTATGGTTCATTATATATTATTTAATGAATCAACCGTTATTCCTAAGTTCTAGTAAAACATTCCTTTCATTTCTATTTATAGAAGAAAAAACTATATCACACGTTTTAAGAAAATTAGTTAAATATATTAATTATGTCTATAACTAAAAGAATTGAACTATAATACTTTTAATTAATTGTGTTAATCAAGCCTTTCTTAATTGTCTCTTATGACTATGAATGATAAAATTATGGGGATAATTTAAGAAGTTTTCAATAAATATTTATTAAAATATGTGATTTTGCTTGTATAAAAAAAATAAAAGTAATACTTTCTCTTATAAATAAAAATAGATGGAATAGTTAAAAGTTCCTTATAATATATACCAGAGGAGAATGTATACATATATACACCCCCCGTCCTATTTAATATTTATAAGTTATCCATAGCATTTTGATAAAAATCAAGAAAAATTTTAAATTTTATTAATTATGTTCAAAAATTCAAAAAGTGTTCAACTTTTATCCTAAAAAACATATCTAATTTAAAAATAAAAACTCTAGTATTTGATAAACTTTCTAACATTTAATAGGGGTAAGATAATAAAGATGAACGTAATAATTATTGACATGTCCTATATATATGATCAAAATAAATACTATCTCCCTATTTCATAAATAAAAACAAAGAAGTATATATAATATGAGTAAATTTAAAACTTATTTAAATTGTTAAAGAGAATTAATGGGCGTTAAGGTTTTTGCTCATTTCCAACCAACATATTGAAAGTCAAGGGAAAAAAGGGATTACAACATTTAAGTGTTTCATTTGCAAGATCGTTGTTCAACTAGTTTTGCCTTAGGCCACGGAAAAACATACAGGTGGGGGTTGGTCGGGCGGTGAATGGTTAGAATTAAGGAATGGGGTAGTGGGTTCCTCCTCCTTTAATTCACGCTCGGGTCCACACACTGTCCTCTTTTTTCCTCTATATACTTTGCCGGAACGATGTCTGTCAACAAGTTGTCCTCCATACGTCACGCTGTCATAAACTGGCTTGGTAACTCTGTTAGTATTCCTTTATTTTAAATTATAACATACTTTTAAAACAGTTTCAACATTTTAAAATATAAAAAATACTGCTCTCGTACCGTAAAATGTTTCTTTAATGAGAAGTACCTTTTTAATAAAAAATAAAATTTTATTAATAATAATTTTTAATATTATTTTTTTATATATTTTCTCTTTTAAAAATTATTTTATCGATGAGTATTAAATAATATAAAAAATATAAAAATTTATATTTTTATTTTTAAAAAAATAATTATAAAATATATTTAATAATTTTATTAATATATAAAATTTATTTAAAAATATGTTATACTGGTGGATCAAAGGAGTTTTTATTTTATTGTAATGAATCAATTAGTACTATTTAATAATTGTATAACTGAGATGTGATTGACCACCGCTATCCCAGTCTCCCCAGGAAGAGCAGCTAATTATAATTAATGCTCATCTTGACTTTGACCATCAATTTTTTGTCAATTAAGAAAGAGTGAAAAACCATCCCGACTGAACTCCCCCTCCCCTCATTTTTCTTAGTAAAATTTGAACACTTTAATTAAACTAATAAAGTTAAATGGGAAGACGGAGAGAAGAGGAGACGGGAAGGAGGAGAGAAAGCTCACTGCTTACTTGTTCTGTTTCTTGTGGGAACGAACCACTGAATCCACAGTGGTTGCCTCTGTATTTCAACACGAGAATGAATCTGCAAAGGAGGGCAGCCTCCCATGGCTGCAACTTGCAAGTAATGGATCAAGATTCCGCAAAGGAAAAGGGACAGGATTGTTGGCATGATCTGAAAATTTGTGATCAAGAGGATGCAGAATAGCGAGATGTGAGGGCGTGTAAGAGATTGCTCAATTGAGAAGCCGATGGAGGAATCACCAGAGTACCTTGAAATTCAAACGCCTCGCTCCCAACAATATATAGAAGAGACAGACCCAGCGGCCCATTTCATCAGGCGTCAGAGCAGGATAAGATCATAAGATAAGAGGAGAAAAAGGGCGCGGGGCCCGACTCCACTCTCTTGTGTTTGTTTGGGGTTTCTTTGCTGTCTGAAATTCCACGCTAACACCAGGATGGCCCCACACGAATACCGGAAACGTCGTGATCGCTTCGAGATATAAAAATAGATAAATAAATAATGATTTCAAAGCGGGAAATGGCGGTCCCTACCAGTGCGGAAGGCGAATGCGACGATTACGACGTGGACGGGCCCCACCAGTTCCCGCGTTCTTCGTGGCACACGGACAGTCCTGTCGCTTTTCCCCATCCTGTCACCATCAGTCCATCTGCCTGTAAGAAGTACTGCCTTGTTACGGTAAAATGTTAAACTTTGATTTAATTGGAGAGCTCGAGAAAACATGACTGTGTTACGTTATCTTGTCTTAGGCGGCAGCTCCTGATCTGACTACTTCTAAAGCTGTAAGTAACCACCAGCGAAATCGAACCCGTCAAGTGGAATGCGGCTGACGTTGCCTTTGAATTCAATAATATCTTTCTTCCCCCTCCTTCCGGGACCCCGCTCAGATTATTGCGCCTCGGCTTCCCTGTCCTTCCCTATTATCAACATACGTATCTTGGGTTGGTGAATGAATGGGTTTAATAAACACAAGACATAAACAAACACGGTTGACCAGAAAGCCCGCCCACTCATAGAGGATGAAAGCCCGCCCGTACGAGACAGCTTAGAGTTTTTCTTGGGCCTTTTGGGCTTGGGTTTTGCAAATTGACTAGCGTTTTGTTCTTGTATGGCAAGTCTGTCTAAAAAGTCCGGGTCCGAAAATGTTCAAAAAAGTTTAAACTTTTCCTTTGGGTTTTTTGTTAAAACTCTTGATCCAATAATTTCCTCTTTCGTCAACTATAAGATCAATAATCTAATATTAATGAAATGTTTGATAGGTAAACGAATATTTTTAAAAAATAAAAAAAAAAGAATTTTCTTTCTTTTTTTTTAAATGATGAAAAAATTGAATGGAGTATCTTATTTTTTTAAGTACATCTCTTGTTTCCTTTTTACAAAATGCTTTTTGTCCACGAAACATGCTATAAGAGTATTTGATCGGGCCTCGATAACACCCTTCAAAAGGAAAAACAGGCTTAGCCTTCGGGCTGTCTCTTGTCTTTTAAATTTTTTGGTAAAATGTTACATGAGTTCATTTTTTTTAAAAAAAAACATGGACTAAACCTTTAAGTTAAGGCCACTTATTTGTTAACAATATGTAGGGAAGTTGGGTTCCTCTGGTCGTGCACTATTTCATGTAGGGGGGACATATAGTCAGGAGTTGATGGTGGTCGTTGGTGGAACAGGAACACTTAATCACTTAAACACTGAACATAAAAAAAGAGCCATCACGGATTATGAATGAATGAATTTGGGTTCGGGAGAATGACTTGAAGAACAGGTGAGGTCATTTAATTTGTAAGCTCGGAATATGTTGCCGGCCAAGAACCAGATTCAAGTTTAGGTTTCTACGTCTGTATCACAGATCCACGATGGCCAGAGGTTAGCGTTACCATGTGAAGATGTGAGAGGAGTTACATTAAAATGCAGCGGGGCAGGGTGGCGTCGAGTGCGCGCCTGGGCGTGGTGGGTCCAAGAATGCTGTGTCATATGGAATTTCTTGGGCAGAGGTAGTACGACAGCTGTCAGGATCAGCCCCCCTCCCTCTGTCATTGTAATTAATTGATTGATTATATGCAACATGGGACTGTTTTGGGCAGAGTACCCACTTAAATAATGCACCAACACTCCCCCGCTTTGTTGACCAAGTGAACCGCATGATAAAAGTTTTCCGCTCTTTCAATGCTGCATTTGGTCGGGGAAATCAATAGTCTTTTTGAAAATAATTAAAAAATCAAAAATTGTGTTGTATTTTTTTTAGAGAGAATTACTATAAAATACCTTGTTGAAACGGAAATTATGCCCGAGGATCAAAGAGAATCTAAAAACCAAGCCAAATATTTCAGGAAAAATCACACTTAGGTTCCATAGAAAAAAATTAATTATTAAGAGATCTTATAAAATTTACAAAATACTCTCAAGTCTCAAATTTTATGTATTTATAACTTGATTAAAGTCATTTATAATTAGGCAACATGAAATTACAACTTGTAAAGAAAATGGATAACTTATAATAACATGAGTAAATGCTTGTTATTCAATTGTAAATGTTCTTGGTAAAAGTATAAATGGATGGGATTTAAGACTTGAGAGTATTTTATAAATTTCATTAGATCTTTTGATAATAAATTCTTTTTTGTGGAACTTAGGTGTAATTTTTTCAATATTTTATTCATAAAACTATATGCATAAATGACTGGGATGCCCCTCTTTGTTAATTAAAAAACACACAAAATTTGGTCAATGGAGCTCCAATCCCTCCTCTAATAGGTGATGGTATGCCTGTTAGAGTTTCGGTTAGCTGGTGAAGGGTCATTGGAAATCATCACTACCTTTTAATTACATGTAATTATCAAAGATTATGTGAAAACTCAACAACTAGAGGTAAAGTAAATGCCAGTGCCCATACCTTTGCACCTCAAGCCTATAAGCTTATACGTTGCATCTCAAACCTATACCCTTTCACTCCAAGCCTATCATCCTACTCCTTGCATTCGAAGCTTATAACCTCGCACCTTAAAGCTATATCCCTTGCAACTCAAGCCTATAAACTTTTACATGAAGCCTATCATCTTACACCTTGCACCCAAAACCTACATGACCTTGCACCGTACACCTTAAACCTATACCATTGCATGTAAAGCTTGTACCCATGCACCTTACACCTAAATCTTATATTCTTGTATCCTAAGCCTATATCCTTGCACCCTAAACCTATAAGCTTGCACGCAAAGCCTATTACCTTGCATCCTGCACCCAAAGCCTATACCCTTGCATCCATAGTCTATCATCTTATACCTTGCACCTTGTGTCTATACCCTTGTACACAAAACCTATCACCTTGCACCCAAAGTCTATACCCTTAATTTCTAATATAGGGGTGTTTTAGACGAACTCATTAGCTTAGATGGAGCCATTGAGAGTTATTTCAATTTCTATACCTATGATTAGTGAGTTTATGATGATTTGAAGTTGGGCTTTAGGGTTTAGATGAACCTTAGCCTTAAATCAGTATATTGAGAGTAATGCATATTCTAAATTAATGTTGTTTAGCTTTATAAAACTATATGATGTTAATGGAACATTGTTAGGCATCAAATCATCTAATGATAGAGGTTTAAGGTTATGAGCATCTTAATTGGGCTAAATACTGCTTATATTAGAACCAGTGATTGATGATCATCATTTAATTGTGCAGACTTTAGTTACTTAAAACCCTTTTAAGTTTGTGGAGACTTTTAAAGCTCTGGTATCGTACGAATAACCCTTTTTGATAATAAAAGGATTGAGATAATTGAATAATCTACCTTACTTATTGACACGTTAGACCATATATGAGGTTTCATAAAATGTGAAATTTGTAATTATATCTAAATATATTTTATGGATAAGCATGCAGGTGCATGAGTTGGTTTTAGAACTTATGTGAAGTAAAAAGATGTTTTTGAAAACTAATTTAATCCCACATGTTAAATTGATAGAGCGTTTCTACAATATAATGGTTATGATCGTGACATGTGATAATAGTTGTGAGTACTTGTGAATGCATAACCGTGCATGTATGTGATGTGGATCATTGCAATAGGAGATTCACCTTGACTATAGTAGTGCAAAATCATATGGCATCTCTCGACATTGTGTATGGCCTTGGTATTCAGTTATATCTATTTGGAAGTCCTTACTCACCGTATGTGGCGGTAGTTATGCATACGACACCTCGATAATTCAAAAAGGAGAAAATCATGGTTTGAAAGAAGAATGTAGCCTTGGTTGGGTTACCTTCCCTATTTGGTGATATGGCCCAGTCATGTCAATAGCCTACGAATTCAGTTGCTAGTGTTTAGCAGGTTTGGTTGGAATTTGTAGATTATGCATTGTGCCTTATGGTTATTTGTAATATTATTCTATACCATAATCATATAATCTCTATAATATCCCACTTCGCATGCTCATTTGTGTTTTGGCTTATCAATCAATACAATAGTTTATTTAGTTACTGGGACTCTGTCTTACTCCGTTGTTACAATTTCATAAGAGACACCGCTGGGGGGAGCAAGGAAGAAGGTGATTGGGAAAAATAGTAGATTTGGATTCCACTTTTGTAATGCCTCAAACTTTTGAACATTATGTGTAATTTGAATATATATACTTAAATTTCTACTGTGATAACAAAGAGTTTATCATAATAGAAAGGATAAGACTATTCTTCTTGAAAACACAACACCATAGTAGGAAGAGTTTACTATGGTAAAAAAAAAAATCAAGTAACTTTACAAAGCCTTACCAAGATAGAAAATGATTTTTCTTAATTAATAATAAAATAATTTCATAGGCAACTACTATGGTAGAAAAGAATAAAATTTATTAAAATAGAGATGCTATGATAAAAAGAGCCGATCATGATAAAAAGAATGAAACTTATTAAAATAGTAAAACTTATTAGTTTGTTAACGCAAATTTACCATAGATATTCTCAATAATTGTGGCTATCTTGCTTGCAAACCATCTTCTACCTCTATGGACAAGTCTATCAAGCTCTCTAAAGATGATGATACTCTTATTAATGTTCATCTGCTTATTAGCACCTTTGTTAGTCGTCTCCTCCATTTGACAACTACTCCCTTTAACATTGCTTTTACTATCTAGCGGTTTCCTTAGTTTACATCTAATTCATGTAGTACTCATTTACAAGTTGCTCATTATGTTCTTTGTTATCTTAAGTCCTCTCTAGGCTAGGGCTTATTTTTTCCTATTGACTTTGATATCAAATTGAAGGCTTTCTTTGATTTCTGATTGGACTAGTTGTGTTGATTCTCATCATTCCATTATTGGCTTTTGTGTTTTTCTTGATAAAGTTCTGGTTTCCTAGAGCTAAAAAA